CCAGACAGATTGGTGATTGAACATTTGTTGTCATAGCTTAACCGTTAACCGTTAAGTTGTCACAAAATGATAAAAAAAACGATTTTTATATTTTATAGTGAAAATGCTCTGTCATCTATGCTAAACTGATTCTCAAATTTTCTCTCAAATATCTCCAAGTTTTACCCCGAAAATAAATCATTGAAACGAGTTTTTCAAATTTTCCAGTTTGTCCTGCCTCCAAATTTTGGAAAATTACGCCCAAGAGATTCCCAAAAGACTAAAAATAAATGTAAAGCGCAGCTTCTTAGTTATTTGATCTTCAAAGAGAGTCAAGTCATCTACCCCCACAAATCATGAGGCAAGGGATGGCTTTGTCATTATAAGCATGGCATCCTTACAAGAGATTGTTTCCCTTGATGTCTGCCCAAATTGCAAAGCCGCTTTGATAATCAAGAACTTGTTAGAGAGAAAGATATTGGGTTTCCCACTTCATGATATTGCCATTTCAAAAATGTAATTGGAAGGGAGAGAAAATGACATCATAAACCCTAGTAAATTTATTTCCAGGCCAAAGCCACAGAATAGAAATGACCAGAAGGGTCACTCGTGCCAGCATCCTTTGTTGCAAGCTCACTCAATTTTTTCTGGCGCCGCGCTGTCTTTACATACAATTCTCGTTTTGAACCGTCATGAAAGGAGGCTAGTAGTCTAGGATGTCTTGCAATCACAGGTGTGATGCAGCAAATTTCAAAACAAGCTCCTTTGAATATCACTGGGGCTGCACTTCATACAATCATGAAGCAAAAGGAGAGTGAATAAAAACACAAAGGCGCTTAGCTCATTAAGGATTGTGAGTTTGGAAACGATATTTAAATTCCGTGTTATCTAATAGTCAATGCTACAGTTGTGAGATGCGAGACCGCCATTGATAGCAGTATTTTTCAGTTATAAAGCAACAAATACAGGGCAAGTTACTAGTTTAATTCTTTATCTGATTGTTGAATTTGTTTTCCTAGTTCTATCTCGGATTATTGTGTTGTTTTTCATTGATGTGCTTTGTTCATGCTTATTGTTTTACATACTATCCTCGTTTTGGTGACGCATGCGCTAAAAAACTCACTCTCAATCGATTGACCAGGAGTGACCCTTCGTGTCATTTTTATTTTGTGCCAAAGTTCATTTGAAATCAATGTCAGAATGATAATGGGCTTCAGGGAGTTTGGTCAGGGCCTGGCATCTAAGTACCCACTTATGTACACCTGGCATCTAAGTACACACTAAGCAATGTTGTTAACATGCCTCCACCAATGTCAAAGCCAGCATATAATAATGCTGTCAAACTACTACAGCTATGTCACACTGAAGTAGCTGTTTGCAGCATGAAAATGCTGCTAAAGATAACAAATCTTTGCTCAATCAGAGCAATGGAGAGGGTCCAGTCAATTGTAGTGTCTTGATAGACAGAACTTGGCAGAGACATGGACATGCATCTCTGAATGGTATTGCAACAGCAATAGACCCCTTTCACATTCGATTGTCATTGTGAGACATGATTCGGAAAAGAGGCTAACGTTGTTCCGCACAACGCTAGCTCCTTGCCGACACACCAAAACAACTTGTTAGCCGGCTATTCGTATTACGTGTATTACTCTATAATAATTATGGAACAATTCAAGACCTTGTTGCCTGGCGGAAAAACTGCCGATTCCCTTGAAGATTTAAAGAAGTTGAACGTTGAGCAGTTGAAAAAGATCTTGGTGTGCTACAAGGAGAAGACATCTGGTGTGAAGGCAGACCTTATCCTAAGGGCCTACGCCATTTTTTGCCGGGTGCAAACCAATCCCAGTATGAATGTTCTTCCTCGCATCACCCATTAATTGGAAATGAAAATCATTGCACATATGAATCTATCTACAAGTCAAAATGTAGCCATTTGCCTTGGACATCAGATCTAAGAGGGACTCCTGCCTTTTCTTTTGATCAGCTGTATGACTATCTTGTTGTACGAACAACGAAGTTCAAGCATATCAAGCTGAAGAGTTCAGCCTATAAAAAGCTCAAAGCCTTTCAGTTTTTCTACGAAGGATATATAAAGAAATTTTTTGTTGCTAGAGATAATAACTTTACTTTTTTGATGTGCGTATCAAAGCTTCAATGGAGAATGTTTTATACAAAGCCATCGTTATTCTCTCAAACGATTCTGGTGATGTTTGCTGTGCAGCCTGTACATGTCCTGCTGGTGCTGGCATTTCTGGTTTGGGTAATTGTAACCATGTTGGTGGTGTCCTTTTTGCTTTTGAAGACTTCAATAGAAAAGGCTATCAAAGTTGTCCTCAACCTGTCTCTTGTACATCGAAGTTATCAGCATGGAATGTGCCTTCTTCATTTACATCAATATCTCCCGTCCCAATTGATCAAATTGTAATTGAAAAGATTAAATTTGGAAGAGATAGTGGTAAATCACTAGAGCTAAAGAACACTTGCCATGATCCTCGCAAAGCCAAAGATGTTCATTTGAACGAGGAAAGCTTTGAAAAGTTGAAGAAAAGCCTTGCTGAATCCACACCTAATAGTTGTTTTTTTGCTTTTCATCCAATGCCTGAGACCAATCCTAATTCTCCAGACTCTCCATTCAATGACTCTTTTGTTACTTTGTCCATTTCTCATTCTGAGGAGTCTGTTCCATTCAGTGACAGTTACGATATATCATGTGCTAATTTTGAAGGAATGATGGATTTCTATGCTCAAGATAACATGTTTCTCAGCCAAACTGAAATACAGAATATTGAGTCTGCTACATGTGGTCAATCATCCAATGATTGTTGGAAACAACATAGACTATACCGGGTTACTGCCTCTAATTTTTACTCTGCAGCGGTTAACGAAGTGGAGCCCTAATCAAAGTTAAAATCTATGTTTTATTCTTCTTTCTCATCAACAAGCACTCGGCATGGAAAAATAAATGAGTCACATGTACGCTCCTTGTATTTGGAAACCTTAACCAATAAAGGCATTTGTGATGCACATATTGATGAACCAGGTCTGATCATTTCTGGCACGCATTCTTTCCTTGGTGCATCTTTGGATAATATTGTTTGGGATGGAGAGGATTCATGGGGGCTTGAAATAAAATGCCCATTTTCAAAATTTGGAATTTCTCTTGAAACTGCTCTTGGTGACAAAAAATTTTTTCTGACAAAGAAAGGCAAGATTCAATTGAAGAAAACTCACAAGTTCTTCTACCAGAGCCAAATGTTTTGTACAGGTTTAAAAAGAGTAGATCTGGTAGTGTGGTTTGGAGATCAGCAGTCTTTGTTTATCCAGAGACTTAATTATGATGAAGATTTTGTAAAAATTCTATCCTCCCCCAGCTCACCCATTTTTATACACGAGCGGTGCTTCCGGAATTCTTCACAAAACGAGTCAAGAGAGGCTATAAATTGTACATTCATGGTGGATGGGAAAAATATTTACATTAAGGAGCAATATTTTTGCAAAGAACTCGCAACTTTTACCTATGAACATTTTTTAAGGAATATACGTATATACGTATGAATTTTGTGACAAATAATTTTCCTTGGTTGCTCTATGAAATTTATAATTAACATTGGCTTTTCTTCACTCAAAACAAATCATTTAGCTTTTTTTGAGAGGAATTACTTTCCAAGATACAACATAATTATTTAGAAATTGCTAATTTGTAAGTAAATTGACATCCAGTAAGTAAGTAAAAACAGGCAGTAAGTAAATTAACATTCTTAATTAGTAAGTGAGTAATCTTGGGTGAAATTTTCCCTTCAATATACTGTGGGGATAATACCATAGGTAGTGACCAAAAACAACAAGATAATGTCTTTGGTGACAAAATTTCAATGAAAATTATTATGTACACTGATTGGCATAAGATATATATGCTTTATGATATACTTATACATTGCAAATCTAACATAAAAAAGATTGAAAAGCCTGCATGTATCCATTTCCTTATCCAATAAGCCCCAACACTAAAAAAAGCCCCTTCCCAATTACTGATATATATATGATACTTTATAACTTATGGCAATTACAGGCCTGGCTGTAAGACTTTTAACAGAGGGGAACAGTAAACAGCTCTCCTAGAAGTATTCAGGTGAGCTATAAGAATAGAAACAAAGGAAAATTGATTTCAAGGAGAGCAAATTTGTTTTTTAGAACAATTTCGGAGAGCAATCTCTAGCTCCCCTCCAGCCCTGAGGAAAGCCTGGAGGGGAGCAAGAGCTATGGCTCTCCTCAAATGGCCAGGCCTGCAATCATGATCATACCTGTAAAAGACCTCTATCATGACCTTGATATGAATATCACTATGTATAAATGTTATGTAAACTAGCAAGGGTGCATGTATTTTTATTTGTTAATGCAAGTCAAGCTAATAGCCAATGTTGATGTTCCTGTAACATAACTTATAGACAGAATCATTTATAATTTTTTCCCACTTAGTTCAAATTGTGGAAACATTTAGAAATTTTGTAAAATGAAAAAATAATTTGCTTCATGACAGATTTATGGTCAGAGCAACTTTACGATTCATGATTGATTTACGATTACGATCGTCAAAATTACGATTTACTTAAAGCTGTTTATCTATGGGTTCTGCATATAAGAGGTGAAATGATAAAAAAATTAAAGAAAAAAAAACGCTGTCCATTTATGTACAATTAAATTACTTCTTATGAATTGAGGGTATCACTAGAAATGGCAAAAAATTAGTTAATAGAGAGCAAACAGTAAAAATCTGATTAGTTAATGGGCATAAGGATAATGGTAGAACTCCATTGAGAATGTGGTAATTTTTAATTCTACCAATGGCTCTTTCCACGTGAATTCTAACAGCTGCAATCTGAGCTGTTTCTTCACTCTCTGCTGGTGTTAACTGTGATCTGCTTCCTTTGAAAGGTGGAATATTGAGTGTAACCCCAACTGGTAGAATGTCAGCTATATCAAATCCTCGGTCTGCCATGACATTGTCACCATGCTCAAGAAGATCAATAAGGCCACTTTTCCGGGTAATCTCTTTATCAGACACTCTGCCAGACCAAAGCTTTGAGACAAAAGTAATAGCACCAGTAGGAGATATTCCAATGAGAGCTTTCCAAGTATTGTGGTGTTTATACTCAGACCATGTCTATATTTGAGCTTTCATGGATTAGGGAACTTCAGTAAAAATTTCTGTGCAATCAATGACTATTCTCGTGGAAGGATACTTTTTAAATTCATCAGGCATCAAAGCTTCAACATGTTCTTTAGGAGGAAAAGGAAAAAGAAGAGGCAGTTCATGGTATAGAAAGTTGATCCAGGTAGAGAATATTTTGGATGCATGACCAACAGAGATTCCAAATCTATCTGCAAGATCGATCAAAAACAAGCCAACTTTGAGACGCATAAAAACAAAAATAAATTCTTCAAAATGCAACAGCTTTCTTTTAGGACCTGGTTTTGTCGATTATTCTTGCCACTCTGGTCTTTGTTTGGATGTACCATGAGACTTAGAGCCACGCCAGTAAGAAATGTTCTGCAACTTTGGTTCCAGATACTCATAGACAGATCGAAGAGAAGAATAATTAGGAAAACCAGTATAAAATTTGACAGCAGAATCATCATTTTGCAACTTTTCAAGTGAAAAAAATGCCTTTTTTGCAACAGACAGTTTAGCATTTAAATTTGATACTTGGGAAGAAAGTTCATCAATCTTTTTTTGAAGGTTGACATACTCCCTTTGTTCATTACTTGACTTGTTTTCATCATCACTAGAATCATCATCAAAATAAATGGGGGCCACGACAAAAGAAAAACTTGTTTGCGTAGAACTGTTTCCGTAATTAGAAACATCTTCTTGAATGGAATCAGAACAATCATCAAGTTCAGATGTAGCAGAAGAAGAAGGCTGCGGTTGTGGGATTTCATAATAGTGGCTGCGATCCTTTGGTGCCTTACGGGAGATTTTGCTGGTCCTCGCATCACTGTTATAAAGCTTCAACGAAGGAACTGTGCCATGATGTAACTTCCATCGCTGAGGGTTTCGCTTTAAATCTTCATCTTTGAAATGTTCTTGGCATAACACTGTACTTGCAGTAACTTTAAAACCATCCAAACCATCAACTCTTTTGATCAAGTTACACCAAACTCTCTTCTCTGGATTCTTCTGCGGAAACTTAAAAAAATGTAGGCCACTGGGTGAACCATCTGTGTTATAGGAAAAATTATAACAACCAAAAGCAGCGCATTGTCTCCCCAGCGATTTCTTCTTCTTCACCTGAATATTAGCTACCGGTTTCTCAGTATTCTCAGCCATATTGCTACCGAAAATTTTTCAACAGATTAGCAAATAATATCAGGAAATATTGACAAACACAGTGTTTGGCTGTATCTAAGGTTTGTGATTGTTGTGCGGAACAACGCTAGCCTCGTTTTCGAAGTCACTCTTCGCAATGATAATAGAATGTGAAAGGGGTCTATTGCTAAAGAATCTGGAGAATGTGTTGATTTTCAGGTTAAATCAGAGATTTGCAAAGCATGTGAGAAATGGAAGCTGCTAAAAGTAACAGAAAAGTTGGATGTATGGAAAGCAGCCCATAAATGCCTAATGAATCACAAGGGATCTTTTGGGGCAATGGAATCTGCTGGGGCTGTTGAGATATTCAGGAGATCAATTCCTTTTCTGAATCTTAGGTTTACTGGATATATTGGAGATGGAGACAGCAATTCATATTCTTGATATAAGAAAACTGGAATGTGCTGGGCATGTCTAGAAGCCAATGGGCAGACACCTTAGAAATCTGCGAAAGTCTTTCTCAGGTCAGAAGTTATCACATGAAAAAAGAATTGGCAAAAGGAGACTAACTGATAAGGTCATTAACACAATACAGAAGTATTATGAATTGGCAATTAGGCAAAATGTTGGCCAACTATATGCAATGAAGAAAGCAGTTGGTGCTGTCTTGCAGGACCGTCGAGAGGGGGGGGTAACCAGGGTAGTTACCAGGGGGCCTGGGGCCTTGAGGGGCCCGTAGAAAATAAGGTATGTATTTTTGGCTATGAGTTTTCAATTAGCAGCATTGGCAGGGCGGGCCCATGACCCAATTGATATTCGAAATTTAATCTTTCAACACGGAATCAACAAGCTGGTCTATGATAAGGGCCTTTTCTTGTTAAGGTTTATAATTAAAACATTGACGATACGATCATAATATACTTCTCCGGAAGCCGAAAAATTCGATTGCACTTTCATATATCTACTTTTAGGTCAAATGTTTTAGTTGCTCCTTGTGTGGACTTCCTATAAACGTAAAAGTAAATCTTCCATTCACGGCGTACACCAGAGAAAAAGCACATGCGAAGAACCAAGACAAATCCAAACGCTATAAAAGTCTTTATAAAAATCACAAAGCGGGATCACGATCCAACCAACCCCTGCGATGTCATCTTACAGGCACAAGTCTGGTGCTCAGAAAAGGCAGGAAAAAAGATGCGAGAAAAAGAAGCAAAGAAAGCCTCTCACACATTGTTTGAGGTAGGTGCTTACAAAAGAGACAAGGAAGGTGATTCAACTTTAAATAAACCTGGTGAAAGCTCTGTTCAAAGCACTGCTGAAGAAGAAGAAGACACAAACGGCTTGGCTGCTTCGGTAGACCCTGACACCACAGAAAGTAGAGAAAGCACTACTGATTCATCATTAAATCAATATACTGTTCATAGTGGATCATCTAGTTTTGATGTCGGCACATTGACCGGATTTCCAACGATAAAGGAGTTAGAAAAGGTTGTTAGAACTGGTCATTTGCCTCATCCTCCAGAGTTTCCCAAAGATTGCGACGGCCACAGATTACCAACAACGGTCCTTAATGTGAAGCAGCAAAATGGGGAAGTAGTAAGACGAAGCTGACTTATTTTCAGTCCTACAAAGGCTGCATGCTATTGTTCGCCATGCAGGCTGTTTGGGCACACTATTAATAATGGTTCAAAATCAAAATTTGCTTCTCCTGATGGTTGGGGAGCGAACGACAGCTGGAAAAGATTGTGGGAAAAGATTAAGGACTTCGCCATGAGGAAAGCAAGAAAGCAGTTTTTTAAACATTAAATTAACTCTGATTTTTAAACTGATTTGTTTCAATGATTTGTTTTATATAGTCACTAATTACATATTCTGTCAAAGACCTTAAAATACAAATTCAAGTGTTTCAGGGGCGTTGATTTCAAAATCTATGCCTTTTACAGTCCATCTAACTGCATTGCTAAGGGCGTAACCCAAAAAAGGTTTTTGCAGCCTTCGACTGTGGGGCCCCATGACAGTCCCAGCCCTGGGGCCCGGCCCGTCTCTCGACGGCCCTGCTGTCTTGTACCATATTTTAGAGAATGAAAGTACTGAAGATCTTCATAAGTTTTACTTGAGGTCTGCAGACAGCTGGTGTTAATTCCAGACTGACAAAATAACTGAGAAAAATACAAAAAAAGAAAGGATATCCCTGCCAGAAGCAATAAAAGAAGTTGTGACACCAATCTTTAAAGACCTTAGTAGTGATAATTTATTGGAGAGATGAGTCATTGAGAAATTCAAATTAGTTATTGAATAAGCATATATGGCAGAGATGTTTAAAGAGAATGGTTGCAGCAAGAAACATTGTTGAGATGATCACTGCATCTGCAGTTTTAAATTACAAAGATGGAATCACAGATTTAAACCTTGTTCTTGCCAAGCTTGGGATTGCTGCTGGTACATTCACCAATCAAATGGCAATAGGACTGCGCCCCGATTCTATTTATAGTTTCTTCCTGATCCACGCACTGAATCCTTGGAAGGGAGTGCAGACAACAATGTTTGGCCTAGTGTTAGAGTGTTGTAGAAAGACCGGTAACCGTGTAGACGATGAACAAGAAGACAGTCTCCAGACCTAAAGGAGCAACCAAGCATTGTTGCTGGGGTACTTGTATTGCTGACAGTTGATACCCCGAGAGGCTTTCAGATGAAACAACATTTATACGATTTCCAAAGCCTGGTCGTATCAAACCTAACATGTCTGAATGGGAAAATTAGCGAGAAAACGAGAGGACAGAGAAGGCAAAGCGATGGCAACATTCATGCGGGAGGAAAGATTTTTATTCATTATACCAGATTAAAAAGGACACTTACATCTGCACACAACATTTCATTGGAAGGAAAGGTCCTACTGCTGAAAATCCAGACCCAATAACCGCGACACTGTCTGAGTCACAGGTTGATTTGTTGTTTGCAAGGTCTTTAAGACGGCAGAATTCTAAAAGTCGAAAAAGGAATGAGATGCCTGAACTTGAGATGGCAGCAGCCAAAAGAAAAATTAACTGCGAATCTGCAGAAGAATCTGTAGTCTTGCTAGAAGAAAACCCCCGGGATTCAGGAAGTCGACACAATTCAGACATAGAGGCAGAGAAGGAGGGCAGTAGCCCAAGCCATTGTGATAAAGAAACACAGACTGTTTACAGCAAATACGAACTAGGTGCAAAAGTTGAAAATATGGTGCTACGAAATGAAATGAAAATATTTGGAAGTTCTTACATGAATACTGATGTACAAACATGCTCACAACTGATGGAATGCCATGCTATTCTTAAAGATGATGCAAAGTGCAAGTATTTTACTGGACTATTTTCAGCTCAGTTTGAAGGCCTAGGATCCTAGTAATATGTTTCCACCTTCTCTTTCGGAGAATTGTAAATGGCTTTGTGCAGCTCCATTGGGTTCTTGTTCCCTCTTTTTCCTTTATTCCAATTACATGACAAAGATGTTTTTGGTGCTTCAACATGGCAAGTATTCTTTGTTATATAATCATTAAGAAACAGCAGTAAGGCTGCAACATGGGCACACCTCCCTAATGACTTTGCAACACAAGTACAGGAGGCTGACTTAACAAATCCACTTGACTTGCTCAAGGCAATCTGTGTACGCAATGGCAGCTCTTTCTTCATTGAATGATGAATGTGTGCTCGCAGTGCATAGCTGTCATAACCTTCATTGTCTTGAACATCTTCTAAAAATTTGCTTTTTAGCAGGTTACTTCCTTTTTTCAATGGTTTTGCTGTTGCAACTTGGAATTCTTCTTTTTCTCCATAATCTGAATCACTGCTACTATCATTCCCAAAAGCGTCAGCAACCATAGGAACAGACTCAATCAGATAATAATAAATGTTTCCATAATTAAACATTGGTGGGATATTTCTGGAAGGAAAATCGTTCCAACTAGACACTGACAATGTATCCTCTTTACTTGGCTTTATAGGTGAATCTGCAGCTCCAAGTTTGCTAGCTTTCGCTTCGTACCATTTACCACCATCAATCTTGGGATCAATCTTCACTTGATTTTCAGACAACCTTTGACTCTTTCGATTAGGACTTTTTTGTGCCACTCTTTGTTGCTCCACGACACTCCAGCCATCTTTTCAGCTCTGTTACACTGCACTCTGATGGCTTCTTTAACAGTTTTGCGCCTGGCACATCATCCTTGTTCAAAAAAACAACTTCAGTAGCAGCCATCATCGATTTAATAACTTTGTTCTCGGAGAGCGTAAAGTTTTTCAGTGTGTTCACTCGCGAATGCCCTGCGCTGTGTCCGCATTCTCTTCCCATCGTGCATTGCGTGAAAAATCATGACGCAAAAGGGGGCGGAGTCCTATTGCTGCTGATGCTGCTGGATTAAAGAACTTGCAGAGAAAGTTTAAAAAAATGTCAAAAAAGAAGAAAAAACACGAGGGCCATTAGAAAGGGATTCCAGGACACTGACATGGCAAATGAAGGCAATGTTTATCAGTCTCGTGCCCATTAGATTAGTAAAAACTTTGATTTGACCCTGGTTTTATGTTTAATAAGAATTGCATCTTTTGGTAGTTTTAATAAGAATTGCAACATAACCATTGTAGGTATCAGCCTGTAGTTTGGCATTCTTAAACTCTGTAAAATTAGCTGCATTTATAATTTTTCAATTTTTTCAACAATATAATACGTCTTGATAATGTTTTTTTGGATCAGCATGCTATAATGCTCAAAACTGAAAGGTTTTATAGCTAGGTAGGTTGTGGTTCATATTTTATCCTTGTTAGAAGAGTACCCATATTTTTCTCTTATCATGATCCTTCAAGTGTAACTAATTAATTGTTTTGCATAATCTTTAGGATAAACCCTTCTTGAGTAATTAACTTTAATTTAGATGCAAATGAAATAATTAATGCTTTGAATAAAAAATTTTCACCTAATGGTTACCTTAAGTTGTGTTGTTTTTTTTTCCTTTTTCAAAAACAAAAACATTTAACAGGGGGAGATGTTGTCATGGATTGTGAAAAACTTCATTTTAAATGTCCTTAGAGAATCAAAATTGTATTAAGTCTAAGTGATTGAATACAAGATGTAGGTGTTTACACTGGAGCTAGGCCTGTTTGACTGCGTGTGATCTATTCAAAAGCATTATACAAATTGCTTGTTTTACTTTCATTTTCCCCTCCCATCATTGTAGAAGAACGACAATTCAGCAAATCATTTTCTTTATCTTTGATCTTGTCTTAGCATCTTGTGTATACAAGTCTAAATATGTAGCCTTTGGTACTGCAACATCTATTACATAACTCTAATTCCATTTGTAAGGACATGCAAATGAAATTGGCTGCTAAAACACAGATACTCTAGTTTATTGCTACTCACAGTTGATGTGGTTTTCTGTGACTCGGTAAGATGGTATAACAAAGTATTTTGTCAAAAATACACCTGCAACCTGATACACGTCAAAACCAGAATCTCCACTCTACAACCAGAACCAAAATATGATGTATAGGTTTTCAAGCCATATATACGGCATATACCTTCTTCTATACTGTATTTTTTGGTTTGGACCAATCACAAAGCCACATTTCAGCTTTTTAGTTGCTTGTCTGTTAAATGCCAGAAACCGATGTTGACAGCACGCTAAGCCGTGAAAATATTTCATGTACCGCCACTCCTTCATAATGAACCTACTACACACAACTACATGAATAAATGACCACACAAACAAAATGTCTAGCTCTGTCCAATAATCCTAAAACCATAGGCGTAGGAGATAAAGGACTGGGAGGGGGTTGTTGTCTATAGCTGCAGAAAAAGCTATCACATTCAGGCTTTATTCCGATAGTTCTATACTGATGACATTATGATATTCAGCAAGATCCTTACATATTTAGCCCACCTATACGTCTAACATCTGCTATGCCCATGACTTAAACCTCATGATCAATAAGCATTAACATATCAAAGTTGCATATTAATGATTGAAAGAAATATTTTTAGAAATTACATGAAAAACACTTACTAACAGTGAGGCTAATTGCCAAATGTGAAAATTTGGAGGATCGCTTCTTCTCACAATTACCATGAGCTTTTTCCCACCAAATTGCTTTACAAAAGTCTTCCCTCATTGGCATTTACTACAGATATACATGTATTGACAATCCATTATTTGTATGATTATAGTTGTTGCATGACTGCTTTTAACAATAGCTACTTGGCAGAAAATTTATAAAAATGTACACAGAAATATAGAAATCTTCCTGATATGGCACGAGACGTGAGAAGTGGACAGCTTCATGTGCTCGCTGCTTGATATCATGTTGATATTTTATTTTGTGAGCAGACGATATTTTATTTGCACAGAGGATAATTAAGAGACAACACAAAACATTGTTATAACAGGAACAATCACCATTATGGTCATCATCATCATTAACATTTTCAGTAAAGCCATAATTGCCATAAAATTTTGTGATACGTTCTTTCTACAATTAAAATCATACCCAAAGGTATTGTATGACATGCATTCAGAAAGCTTCTACTCAAGCAACCCTGGTTTCCATATTCAAATTAGACCCACAGATATAATCTGACGAACCTTTTAATATTTGATGAATCGACTACGGTAAACTTTTAAATGTCTTGAATTTTTCATAATTTATACCTACACTGACAAAAAATCCTGATCCCCGGCAAACAGTTTCCTGGTCATACAAATATTCCTTTTTTTTACTCATCCAAGGAGAAAATTAATCACACATGGCTGGAAATTTGTTCTAGTCTTTAGCGTACAACGGTCGACGAATTTGGGTTGGCGAAATTAATATTCGCCACTAATGCCTAGAGGCGCTTCCTAAATCCTATCGTCTTTTTTTTTATTCGCTGCATTATTGTCCAAGATTCGTTTTCGTTTCAGTTTTTCCTTTTGCATTTGTCGCCAACCAACATTAAAGGGACTCCTTTCTGAGTCGCATGTCCATGTAGACTCGGAAAAGTCTCTTTCTTCTTTAGCAGAAGAATCTGCAAGAAATTAAGAAATTTGTTTAGGAAGCAGAAAAACTGTGTTTTCAAGCTTCCCAAATTTTCGAAATGTAGGAAATTTGACTGTTATTTTAAAAAAATGCTAATTTTGATATAACTGTTCGAACATATTCCCTGTCTATTTCTGCCCCCTCCCCCTGAGGAAAAGCAAACTGTTTATCTCATTGTGTCTAATTAGCAAGGTGATACATTAGAAGTATCAAGCTAAACTGTTACTGTTGTCATACGATAGATATTGAACAACACATTTGAGCCTTCAAATGTCCAAAAAGTATCTGGAGGAATAAATTGGTTCAATCATGTCCAATCTGTATTGTTCCTGAACTACTTGAAGAGTGATCCTGTTCATCCTCTGCATCATAAGTTTCATTAGCAGCTTCACCTTAAATACAATATATTAGCAAACAGAGTTTAAATTTTGGTTGATTTTGTAATGCCTATTCCTCTAAGAGGAGATATTCCTGTGCCGTTGGATGCTTCCCCCTTCTGTTCCGACGGCCATGGACTCATATCTGCCTTAAAAAACTTAATTAGTAATGTAGTAAAGCTCAACCTAATATTAAAGATGTTGATCGAATAAAAAAGCCTTTACAAATAATTTCCTAAAATTTGATTTGATGTAGTTTAATAACATTGCTGATTAACATTAAAGGGCCACTCCAGCCCAAAAATTTTTTCTGAGATTTTTGCATAAATTGGTAGTTAGTCGAGAAAAAGAAGCCATCGTGAAATTTTTTTTTGAAAAGCTTAACTCGTTTTCCAGATATAGACGCTGAAAGTTGAGAATCGCCGTAAAAATACGACAAAATTTTTTTCGGAAAAAGTACCTTGTGACGTATGAAGGGACCATTGTTTCAACATTCGGCGCTATTGTTATACGTTCGCACGGAAATTCGCACGACTCGGTAGAGGCTCGGAAGAGGCGATTCATGTCGGAATCTCGGTTGTCGTTTTATTTATTTTCCTTCATTGCGATTGATGTCCAGCGGAGGCTTCCAGCCAACATGGAATAGTAATTCGATAAATTAAAGATGGAAACTTCAACCTGAATGCAAATCCTCATCTTGGCAACGCAGCAAGCTTTTCAACATGGAATGCTTCACGAATTTTCAGATGTGAATGGATTTCTGACCGAAGGCATTTCTTATCGTCGTCTCATCTCAGGGATTTCCAGGGAGGTGAATAATAATTGATGTCTTACCGCATTAGAAGAAGAATCCCATTCACAAGATGGAAGCTTTCCCGTAAGTCACAATCCATCCTTATTCAGGCACCGCGGAGCAGGGACGGGGGCTGGGGAGGGGGGCTTTAGCTCCCCACTTTTTGCAGAAATGCTAAATATTAGGTAATAAACTACCAGTAAAGCTTCTTTTTATATGGTTTTAGCCTCCCCCCACTTTGTTAGACCCCCACTTTTCTCAATGCTCCATGGTGCCTGTTATCATTTTACCATGGTTTGGAGGGGGTTTAGGGAAGGTGTGACACACACCCCCTAAGCAATGCAATTTCCCAGGCTTTGAGAAAAATTGTATCCTCTAAATGTAAGATTTCTAACAGTCAGTCTCATGAACTGTCCACCCAATGGTTAGAGGTGTCAAGTGTGGTACTAAGAAGAAAAGTACAACAGGGGCTCTCAAGCAAAATGTCATATAAAATAGTACTGAAAGTAGAAGTTTGCTACTTTTTGTACCAACAAGGGGGCCTGAGCCTCCTAGCACTACATCCTTGCCAATGATCTGTGCAGTACACCCTTGCCCGAGGTACAGATGTGTAAAATTTTTGAGGGTTTCTCTCCTCAACCCTTAGTTTTCATGTTCTACCATGTTTCGCCTTCAATTTTGGAGTCCTGCCTATTTCATCATAAAACTGATGCACAATTTTAAAATTTTGCCAGATCAATATCCAGGGCAAAAGATCTACTACCCCAAAGAGAAAACATGGAATTTAAACCCTTGGTTTTGAAAACAGATGTGTCATATCCTCATTCTAATGTTTTAAAGGCAGAATTGTTTATATTAAATACACCTTTGCTATTCTAGCATTGATTCATATAAGCATGGCCTATATCATTTAAATTTATCTTTGTGTTATCTAATTAATATCCTTAGATGTTATTTGCTATAGCAACAGTGGTTGCCCTTTCATCCCCAAATTTCTCTTTGATCCTTTTAAATATCTATGCTCTGAATGCCCCTGAGTGTCCAAGGTAATGATTTCTTTGATCATTTTATGTGATAAAGTGACTCTAAAGTAAATTTCACTGGTAGGTTATT